GGGGAGAAGTGATTGCGTTGTTTTCTAACAAGAGAGCTTCAGGCGCCTATAGTGCCACTCTCCAACCAGGGGTGTAAATGGGCTCCAGCACACTGACAAAACATCGGAGCGAGGAGGGAGGGGAAGCGGTAACTGAGATGGCTCTGCGTCACATCAAAGAGGATCAAAATAGTTATGCCCCTGGTCGAACATGGAAGGCGCACCGGCCAGGCCACTCAGCCTCCAGGTCGAAATCCTTGTAGATGATTTGAAATTCGGGTATCTGTTTGCACATGTAGCGCACTTAACTCAGGCCACGAAAAATTGTGCGGGATCAGACTCAAAGGGAGGTTTAAGGTTAATGCATGGTTCATGGACTATTGCACGTTTGCACTGACGGCACGCGATATTACGTAATAGCCTCGGTACTGACCATCTGCTGATGAAAGTGAACTAATAACTATCACAATAAAAGCTCAATCCCTAGCCAGCAGTTGTTAAAACAGACTGCATTTGTTGTGTACTTCTAGAATATGTTAGCGACCAGCCCTTTTTTCATGTGTAGCTCAGTTTGTACGGAAATATGGTTCAGTCTAGAATGCTCATAATTCATCCGTGTCGTATGTAAACAGATTAAGAAAATATGGCAAAGTTGAGCTCGTTTATCGAATAAAATTTTTACGAGCGTCCCCAATACCACTTGTACCTGATAACCCTTTTCAAAAATGGGGGCTGAAACTCATCACAGTGAAATGAACTGCACAAGACATTATTTCTGCGCTAAAATAACCTGGACAACCTTTGTAGTGTTTGTCTTAAAAATTTCATTTGCTTGGTTGCGGCAGCATTAGCCGAGAAAACTTGTCGTGATTAAAAATGTGAAAAAATAATCAGAATGACATTTTTACGAATTGGATTATTTGCTCTCCTAATTTGGACCCTTCGCCCTCAAGATTTTAATTTAATTCTCCTTGCTTTCCACCATATAAAATAACTTGGACAACCTTTTAAGTGGTTGTCTTAAAAAGTTTCATTTGCCTGGTTGCGGCTGTATCAGCCGAGAAAACCTGTCGTGATTTTAACTGTGAAAAAATAATAATGACATTTTTTCGAATTGGATTATTTGCTTAACTTGTTTCAGGTTGTCATTTCTCTCCTAATTTGAACCCTTCGCCCTCAAGATCTTAGTTTGATTTTCCTTGCTTTCTGCCATATGTTCCTCATAATTTTAACTCTAAGAATTCAGTGTTAAAAAGCATTATCTCCCGGCGGGATAACTTATGTTCTTTTGTTCATAGTCGATAATTATCTTTTTTCTGGGCTTTACCTTTCTTCTTTTCAGTATATTGTTGAGTGGCGCAAGGAAAAAAATTCTCAATTGTCTGTGCTGAGAGTGAAAGGGTTAAGTTAACATTCTCGGCTTCCACTGTCATTTTGGAGAGGGGTCTAACTTCTCAGTGAGCTCAGATTCTATGACAGTAAAGAGAGAAACCGAAAATATCCCTGACACAACCCTTAGGTTGTTGCTTTATAAAAGATATCTTTGAAGTAACATAGACAAATATCCTTCATTTTTGACAAATTTTCGTCTTTATCTTGAGAGAATCAGATTATTCGTATATCTAGCTTAAAATTTCGTAATCAGTATAAGCAAATTTATTAATAAAAAAGAATTCAAAACGTCCAGGACATCTTAATTGCTAATATTTCACTTTCAGAGGAAAAATTAATACACTCTAAGAGGGATCTAAAATTGATATTTCCCAAGTTTAACATAGATATTCTAAGTGAAGTACAAAGGTCGTTTTCGCAAGACATAATGACGCTGTTTAACGGAAAAATCATTAGAATCGTAGAACATGGGGGGTTTATAATCCTAACTAGTGAAACAATGCCTTAAGCGCATTACAGGATACTTGAGATTAAACCAATTTACTGCTGTCTGACACTGCGGTGCACGTTACAAAGTTAAGAACGCGTCAAAGCCGGTATAATTGCAAACGGAGCAATGTCTGTTTCAGCTGGCGCATGGTCAAGCTGACTTTAAATGCGAACTGGACTTAGTCTTCTTGACAAGATGCTTAGGATTTCTGAACCGTCTTCCTGCCCTGCCGTTTTTACCGCTGCCATTTCTCAGTGCGTCTCGGAGGTGGAAACCGGCACGTTGTTATCCCTGTGTTACGATCTATGAAACAACAGGGCATCTCTTTACTTCTGAAGCCCATCACATTACATAACACTGCAGAATTCCTTTTTACTTTGCTGTTCAATTGCCAGTTGCCTACCATGTCCAAAAGTACCACACAACGAACATGCCAGCTCTCGAATCCGGACAAGAGCCACGTGATTAAAGGTGCCAAAAGTGTACTCTTATTATGATTAATTTTTCGCACTTTTCATGAAGTGAAGTACATGGCTTTATCTCTTCCCCTACATTCAGACTGCACTTATGGTTCTAGATGCCCCGTTGAGTACTGATTTGAGATTTCCGGGGGAAAACTAAAGTAGAACTGTGACATCTATTAATGGAACATCGAGGTTCATTTCACTGCGCGCAAACAAGTTTTTGTGATCAGTTCATTTTGCAGAATGCAAAACTCGGTTTTTGATCTGAATCACCTGATGATCTGGGCGCAAGTAGTTGTAAGCATGGATTCTAACGAGCACTACAAATGATCTCTCATCGGCCGTATCTCCTCGCGCTAGACCTTTGGTTTATATGTACAGTGAGCCACATATCGTGAGCATTCGTGAGGACAGCGAGTTAAAGCGTTATAACCATGGCGTTAAATAAAATCTGATTTTATTCATTTTCCCCATATTCCTCAAATCAGCACTCAGATCATACTCACAAAGTATATATTTTGGTTTTGACCCCCCAAACGGCTGAAAGCAGAAGGCAAGAAATTCAATTCCTGTCCTTTCGGTAGCCTTTAGCGACGCCGTTCACGTTATACTCTAGTATTACCAGAAGAAGGAAATACAGATGGTTTTGTAATGTAAGATGTTGAAGTTTACTGCACAATTACGGAAAATGCAGAGTATCATTGATGATAAACTGTGATTGAAGAAAATTGATGATAGTAGTGATAGATGAACTGAGAATTGCAATTGATTGATGTGAATAACTCTCTCTCGTATTTCGATCGTAGATTCAAGGTAAAACTAAAAAACTTAATTAAACTAAAAATTAAAACAAAGGATGGTATCTTGTCAGTGGTAAGAAGATATTTCTGAAACAGAAAAGAAAATGACACAAAAGGCGACCAAAAGTTAGAATATTAATGCTGTTAACTTCTGATCTGTTTATTCAAATGAATTCCTTGAATTCTACGATCTTTTTAAACCGGATGTTCCTTTCTATGTATTGCACAGTTTATTTATATTATGGCCATATCTCGGACAGACCATTGTTTAAAAATTTTGCCTCATAAACATGTCTTCTAATGTCTCAGCAAAGTTAGTTTGATGTTGACACGGCTTGTCTCTTCAAACTTGCAAGATCTTTGATCTCTTTGTTTCTTCTTTAAACATTTTGTGTCGAAACTGTGGTTTTATTAAAACCTGGATCAGCTGTGATTGGTCTATCTCATCACACGTGTGGGACGTGTAAACAATCCGGAGGGTTATTGCGTTTTCTACTTTCTATTAATAAACTACAGAGTTTGTGACGCAGAGATGCAGATTTTGTCGTATCGATTATTTACTTTCCTCGCGGAAAAACAAACAAGATTTCAAATATGCCTTCGGCATGTATGCAAGAGACACATCGATTAATGTTTGAATCGAAAACGCCACGATGGCTTTCTTTTGCCCGTCACAACTGACATTGAAAAAGAAAGGTAATAGTTTTGTTTCAAGGGAGGACGTTCTCTTCCTTGTCGCTTTTTCGTGCAGCTAATATAATAAGCATTCGTCTTCCTTTGAAAGTTGTCTTTCCCACTGCATTGTTATTGTGTCATAATTAAGCGATGTTTTATTTCTCTCCATCAAATTTTGAACGCCTATTTTTTTTCATTAGTTTTACAAAGCAAGAAGCCTTATACATCTGATGTCTATCGCCCGTCATCAAGTCAAGAGCAAAACGGAACAGCGTCCTCAGAAGTTACAAAATCGGCTTTGAAAAATGGCTCAACTCCAAGCCACAAACAGGAGAAACGAAACGTCCGAATCAGCGAATCGGGCCTGAGACATGAAATGCTTTTTGAACGGAAAATTCGAGTAGCAAGTTTGGGTAAACCTGCCAACATACGCGTCAAAATCACGCAAAGCTACGAGCCAGTTGATAAAGAGGAACTGAAAGTTCGAAAAGGACAGTATGTGAAAATAATATACCAAGAAAATGACTGGGTTTACGCGGTTGATTCGTTCGGAAATGAAGGGTTTATCCCGCTATTTTACTGCTCGACAAGAAATGTTTCCACCGACTCGAAGTCAAGCACCTCGGGTTACGAGGATAGCTTCGAGGATAGCGAAGACGGAGTCACCGAAAGAACTACTGTGGTCGATTTTAACGAACCTCTAAATGGAGCGAGCCAAAGCTCTAATAACTCAATGACTTACTTTCCTAAGAGAGCTTACGGTCCGCAGCTGACAGTTCTATATGACTACACTGCGCATTATGAGAATGACTTAAGCGTGTGTCGCGGTGAGTTTGTTATGCTGCTAAATGATCAAGATGAGGATTGGTTTTGGGTCTCGACGGATGATGGCGAAGAAGGCTTTGTACCTCGATCTTTTGTCGTCTCTCACGTCTGCGAAGGTAAACAATTTGCTTCTTAACGTCTTGTGTATGTTATTTTAGTTTTCATGTGGTAAAGAGTTAATGAAACAATGAAAAGTTGCGAGGAAGCTCTTAAGTGAAGAACTTTAAAACTTAAACATGCGAGTCATAAATGTTTCCCGAGAAAATAAGATTCTTAGATTCTCTTGCGATAGAAGAAGTTAATACAGAGCAGTCATCTTATCAATTAAGATTTTGTTACCCACAAAAGCGAATATAAAAACCTAGTAACTATACCAGAGGAAAGAGGAAAGACGTCCGCGTATTAGCAGGCCAGACTTTTTGGCAAGATCTAAAATGGTCCAATTCGGGTTTATGAGGTCACGTGGATACAAAATATCAAGATAATTAAGACGGGTTCTAGCTCGTTCGAGATTTCGCCGGCGTTACCTTTTCGTTTGTGAAAAGCAGTTTTTGAGACGAGTTACCTTTTTTTAGACTGAAGGCTATTTTTATCCGTTTGTTCAGTATTCTGAAACCTCAACTGAAACCCGAGAAAACTTTCTCTACTTAACCCAGCACTTACCTTTCGCTTTACAAGAGAAAATTCATCTTTTATCAGGATAAACATGTTCAATTTTGATTTCCTTTCCGATGGCTTTTAGCCGATAAAGTGAAAATTGCTCCTTTAACAATTAACACGATGTCTTCGCCTCGTTGAAGATCCCCTGGGTTGTCAGTTTTATTTTGATAACCTTCACCTTTTAATACTTTTAATGTCTTTAGCGACGTGATATTTTAGCGCAGATGGAAGCTCTCTTTCAAATGTTTAAAATGTTACTCGGGAACTGGTGACTCTTTCTTAGTCATTTATTATTATTAACTTTTGACGTTTTATGAAAAAAAAGGAATTTTAAACCATAACAGGAAAAAGAACGCCTAACCGTTTGCAATTCTTCTGCTATTGGGTTAGTGCGTCTAGAAAAATTCTTAATTAAGCAGTTTAGATCATCAACAACGGCAAAAAGAAACATATTGAAGTTGAGCCGGATGAAAAAAGATAGATTTGGCTTAAGTCATAAAAGGCAAATGGATCGAGAAGCGGGTTTACTGCAAACGCGAACAAAAAATTACCCTTATTATCGATTACGTTTCTAAAACTCTCTACATAAAACCAAAACAAAAAGACATGAACATATCCTCAACTGGAATGAAAGGGCAGATGTTTGCGCTCTGTTGCGCAAACATTGTTGGTAAGGCACTTCCCTGAGAAGTTATTGTTAAAATTTCTCCGATAAAAATTTAAAACCAAAATTTTCGGTCTTTTCGCAATAATGGTCAAATTCGAAACCATGTTATCATTTGTCGCTCATTGTTGCTAATAGCAGTACTGAACAGTACTGAACTGCATAGTTTACAAAATCATGCGCGCCTGTAACAGTGAGATCCAATGCTACTTAATGGTGTCAGATGAAAATCGCGGTTGCAAGGAACTTTCGTTGAAAATGGTACGTTGAGATTTTCGCACATTCCTATTCTTTATTATACATAAAGTTCATGTAAAAGAAACAACGGCGTAAACAATTTAATACCTTTGGGAATTCGGCTTTGTTTAAGATTAGTATGGGACTGTGCGGAAATCTTAGCAAAGGTACAAAGTGATTGATTGATTGATCGATCTTAACCCGGAGGAACTTTTGAAATTGCTTATTCTGACTTATTCCGGAAGTAATCCCTTTTAAGTTTATTTTAGGGAGATTCCCCAGAGAATACCGGTTTACTCACAAAGAGATTCCGGTGACACGAATGCAGCTGAGCTAAAGCTGCCCCCAGACATTCTTTCTTGACATTTCAGTTTACGTGATTTGGAATTTATGATAATTTATGATAATTTATGGTAATTAAGAAACTATACATTATAATTAGGCATTGAACTCGTGTTCAAGCTTAGTGGACGGGTAAGGAAGAAATGCACGTGAAGGTAATATAATAAAGTATTATCACTTACGGGTGAAATGTACAAGAAAATATTTATGTGGAAATGAAATGTCTCTTATTCAAAAGCCTTCTTTTATTTTCATACATAGCGTGTGTCCAGCGATTATCTTCACCAAACGGTGCGTCGCTCAACTCACCGAACCTCAGCTCCTCTGACGTCACACCATTAAGTTCGAGTTCTACCGGGATGAAGTGCAAATCATGGCAGACGGATGTAACCTCATCAACATCCAGTGAAAAGACTTACACCCTGAAAGGGACGCGCTTAATAGTACTGTACAATTTTGAGGGGAAAGCCTTTGACGATTTGACTGTTAGGCCTGGAGAATATGTCTATGCAAACCTCAAGGACCAAATTGTGCCTGGGTATATCTGGGCTTATTCGCCGAATAGTAAGAAATCTGGTTTTATTCCAGATGATCATGTTAAGGAGCCAGTGATAACAGACATCTAATGGGGTATTGGAAGTTCTTATTTCCATAACAGTAGTAAAATGTCTCCGTAACAGCTTACATGGTTTTACATGCTGGATGACTGACTTAATGAGAACTGAGTTCCTGTCAGTTATTTATCGCCGCTACAGTAGAGATGAGCTAGCGCTGTGTAACGAGCAAACGAGGCCGTGACAAAGAGAGATCAGGGCATGGATGACGCCGGGATTTGTCAATTTGATTCTACGAAATTGTTTTTAATTCTAAACAAAATTGGGAGTTTGTTCGGTCTCATTACGCGGAGAGATTTTCTATTCATAACCTTATTAAAACTGAGACCCTCCAGGCTTGAGCTTTCCGCTCTGGTAATATAGATTTTTTCCTTGTCACATGGTAAGAAGCCTATTTTAATACAAGACCGATGTATTAGGAATCAGTGTCTTTTTTGTAAGCTTTTTGTTATCTAACCCAAGGTAAAAGCCTTCTTTTTTAAAAACTAAATAAAGATAAGATTAACTTCAATTAGCGTCTTATTCAGTCTAATCATCATAACTAAACAGAGGTCGATTAACAAGACCCGCACCCGCACCCGCACCCGCACCCGCACCCTCATCCCATTTCATTTGCCACTCTATCTCAGCCTTTCTCCCTCCCCTCGGTAAGGTTCATATCATGGTATGAGGTATGAACTATGTTTCCGATGCCACCTTGTGAACCGTTCGTATAGGACAGCAATTGGCTTAGGAACAAGATTGAAAACTCGGCATTTATTTCAGGTAAGATTACTCTACACTGAAGTCTCTTCAGTAAATAACTTTTGATCATGAAAAGGCCAATAGCCCCCAAAACGCCAGGCTTTTGCTCCGATTTTGTTTCGCAATCGAAATTCCCCACGACATGTACTATGGTGATCATTTCTAATGCATGCACTGTATGCCAGTGAGAACATATCTATCCACTGTGTCTATTTTTTTAGAAAAAGGTACGCTTAAACCGAGGAAAAAATTCCGTTTCACCCCATGCTATTCTTACACTAAGCCGCAGCCTAAAGGTAATATTCTGTTTCGCTTTTGTTTTCCTTTATCCAAGTAGTGCATGAAGAGTGAAGAAGGGGGTCAAACGAAAATCTTGCCTTAATCAGAGATGACAGTTTTAAAGGAAGGTAATTTCCTTGGGTTGGTGGAAAAAAAACGACATTTAGTAGCTAAGCAGGAGAAACACAGAAGAAGGAATGTATTAAAAAAGCTAAAATAATTTATTATTTTGATAAAGAATATTTGTACAGATTTTGATAAAATTTGAATTTTGTTTTACCCAGATACACCCAACAGTACAGGGTGTTAAGTTAATACTATTGCAAAACTTTGTCTGTATTCCCCTTTTTCAGATACAAGTAAATATATGAAGCTCGTATATTTTGAACTGCGGTATTAGATACCTATGGTGAACGATCCTCGCAGTAGATAGCGCTATTTAAGCAATAGCGAAAATCAGACCTGAAAAAAATCATGCCTGTACGGGATTCGAACCACTGACCTCTGCGATACTAGTGCAGCGCTCTACCAATTGAGCTAACAAGCCAACTGGGAGCAGGCCGTTAAGTTGATTCGTAATAAACCCGTGAAAGTGATAAATCAGATACAAGTAAATATATGAAGCTCATATATTTTGAACTGCCGTATTAGATACATATGGTGAACGATCCTCGCAGTAGATAGCGCTATTTAAGCAATAGCGAAATCTACCGCGAGGATCGTTCACCATATGTATTCCCCTTTTTGTTATAACATTATTTATCCAAAAACAACCATAGCATTAATTACTGATGAACGCTTCTAAATTGCGCCAAAAAAAGCTTGAAACAAATAGTCCTGTACAGAATCGTATAATTGAATAAAAGCTTACATTCTGATCGGTTAACGAAGTGAGATATTTAGCGTGGAATTGCGAGCGACACTGTCTCACATCTCATGCTAACAATGTCATCGCTGTTTTCTTTTTTTTTTTTCTTATTTTTATTCAATTATGCGGCTCAAGGAAAACCATTACCTGACTCGTGAATTCCGCCTTAAACCGATATCGCACTCATCGATTGCGACTCGTGCGATATCGGTTTTCGCGCGCAATTTAACGCGAAATTCCCTCATCAGGTAATGAAGTTTCTTACAACCTTGAACTATAATGATGCACATATTATCTTGTGGCTCAAAAGCTTATTGCGTAAAGGCAAGTTCATGCTTAGACTGAAAAAGCTCATGCATAAAGAAAGATTACATTCATCATATTTGCAGCTCTAGTCACTACAATTTCTCGTATTGTACGCTAAGTTAAGGGTGTCTCCAGAATTATTCTTAGGAAGGGGTGCACCAGGCACTAAGGAATGACATAACTGACGGATGACGTGACCAAATTTTAAAAGCAAACAACGAAGAAGAAGGCTCATGCCTAAGCAGTTAAACATTATGTGAACTGCTGAGCATGTATAGCATTTTTACGGCGTTTAACATTAATTTCTTCAACCTCGTCTCATGTTTTACTTCAACACCAATAAAAGACATTGCTTTGTTGTTTTTTTTTTCTTCGCGGAAAACTAGTTACTTTGGAAAGCTGCAAGTCGTCTCAGTTGAAGGGGGCGAGTGTGCACCCCCTGGGCGCGCCCCTCCCCTAGATCCGCCTCTATAAATGTAACCAGTAAGTGAAAAGTAAGACTTGATAATTATTTTGTTCTTAGCGGGTATCCTAACAAGCTTTGATTTTGAAATGATTTTTAGAGTCGCACATTTCAGTTTCCCGAAAGAAGTTAACTCTTCAATTTCTAAAATCTGATTATTAATTGTCCCCTTTAGCCGCTATGCATTTCCTTGTTAATTAGTCAGGAGAAGCTGGTGTCAAATCAAGAAAACAACTTCTATCTGATAAGTTTGAGTATTCTCATTACCTGTTTGCTTGGTACCCTATGGAATAGAAGGTTTAAAAGAGCATTGTTATGTACAATCCATAGGTAAAAAAATTGTCATGTCACCATTTAAGCATAACTTTTCGCGGTAACTTTATAAAGAAACCCTTACAGACCTTCTGCCATGGTTTGATGATCAGAGATCAATCGCTGACTTCGGATAATCATTTCTGACTCAAGCTGAAATATTCTCTCCAATTTCCTCGCCGTCATCAAAATCAAGTTAGATGAGAAAATAAATGGATATATGAAAATTTAGGAACACACGAATAAGTTGAGTTATGGTATTAAAAATGCCAAAACAATATCTTATTTAAATCTATGTCATATTCTGAAACAACGTATATCTCATAAAAGTAATTTCATACGTATTTTTCCAAAGTCATAAATTCCTTTGGCACAGCACCAGGCCTTCTTCTCTCCTTCTTACAAATGGGACATTGATTCGGGGGACGTTCCACGGAGGGGTTCCGGTGCAGGGGACACATGTCCACCACGGACAAGATAGGACTACAATATGAGCTCCTGGAGCAAAAACTGCGCTCTGTATCCGAGCTCCGGCTTGAATCCGTTGAGGGTGGCGGGGGGCCCTTGGGATGTTGGGCTGCCTCGCGTCTTGCCTCTGGTGCCCCTGGGGGGAAGCGTTTCACCACTGGTGTACTGTTGGACCTTTCTTGGTCCCTTTGAGACTGGCGGCCCTTTGCCTCCCCTGTCCAAGGGGGCATGGGCGCAAGCGATCCTTTAGATATTTTTATATCGCTGGGAACGGGATCATATGATCTTCGACGAGGTTCTTGAATGTCTCTTCCGCTCATCGTGTTCAGTTCACTTTTTTGCTCTGCAGAAACTCTTTCCTCAATAGGTTGGAATTTATGGACTAACGGTTTATTCAGTGAGCCTTTTCTGGGATATGGGTCGCTACTAAGGTCTGTATTTGAACCGTCGAGAACGAATTTATCCTCTGCGATGGACTTTCTTCCTCTTAACTGCTGACACGCTCGTCGTAGAAGATCGTTCTCCTTTTGCAGACTAGCAATTTCTTCACGCAGTTTCTCAGTGCCTTCTATAAGCTGCACATTTTCGTCCTCCAATCGCCTGTAATCAGATGCCATTTGCTCCATTTTCCCTGAAGAATCTTTGAGATTTTCAGTTTCTTTCAATAGCCCATCTAAACGGGTCGACAGAAGCTTTGTCTTCGTCTTCATAGCATTGTCTTTCTCCATCAGTTGCTCGGCAAGTTGCTCTTTGATAGACGCTTCGTTTTGCTTCTCCTTCTCGAGCTGCTTAACCTTCAGCGCCATTTCGTGTAGTTCCTCAATAAGTTTCTTCCTCTCTTCATCTTTCCTATCGACCTCCCTGTACAGCTCCCGTAAGTCCGCTTGTAATTTCTTATTCATCCCCTCAAGTCTGTCGTTTTCTGAGAACAAGGTCCTTAACTTGGTGTTGAAGTCTTTCTGGCTTCCGCTTTCAAGAAGCTTTACAATCTCAGCCTTCTGTTGTTTATTCATCTCTTCGATTTGTTCTTTATCATACTCAAGCAAACGGACTTGTGACGCGAGGCTTTCCTTGTCTTTCTCCAAGCTACGGACATTGTTTTCGAATTTTCGCAAAAGAGCACTGAGACCTTCGACTCTTTCCTGCTGAGATATGGCTTCATGTTCTTTGGCTTCAAGCTTGGACAAAAGATCTTGATTTTTCTTCTCCATTTTTATTTTAAATGAATGTGCGTCGTCTACGAGTTTTATCCTTTCATTGTCCAGGTTTGTCCGGTTTTCCTCTAACTTCCGGAATTTGTCTTTTAAATCACCATGTTGCTTTTCTAAGAGATTCAAACTGTATTTTGTATCGTCAAGTTCGCTTTCAATCGCCTTATTTTTTCTCTCTACAGCTTCGTTGGAGAACGATAACTCACTATTCCGTTGTTTGGAGTTTTCCGTCTCTTTAAAGATCATCTCTTTGTTGATTTTTTCAAGCTCTACCGTCAGGTCTCTCGCTGTTTTCTTCAATTTTTCGTTTTCAGAAGACAGACGGTCTTTTTCTTTCCTCAACTCCTTTACTTTGTCCAACTCTTTGCTGTCTATGTCTTTCATATCACTTGGGGATCTCTTCAATTCCAAACTTGTCTTCCTCAGATAATTCTTCTCTGCCCGTTCATCGTAAGAAAGCTTACGCAGCGTCTCCACTTCAAAATGCACTTCAGAGAACTCGCCATCGAGAGCACTTATCTCTCGTTGCACACTTGGCGTAAATCCTCGAACTTTGGCTCCTTGTAACTCTTTCTTTAATTTACTCTCCTTCTCTCTGGCGATATTTAGCGCTTCCTGAAGTCGATTATTTGCCCGCCTCAGGCTTTCAAGCCGTTCCTCATCTTCGCATTTTTCTTTCAAACTCTTGTAAAACTCTTCGCGAGCCGTTGCCAAACTCGCCTCCTTCTCGTCGAATTCCCTTTCCTGTTCAAATATTGTTCGTTTGTGTTCAACTATCGCTTCCTCAAGGAAACCAATTTTTTTCTCTTTTTCTGCAAGCTCATTTTTCAGGCGAGTTACTTCATCGCCTCTCTCCGACTTTTCTGGCGTGATCTCTTCATTTCCGTCATTTCGATCTCGATTCGTTTGCTTTTGATTGGCATTCACTGTAAGAGATGTAATCTGTTGATCTTTTTTGACCATCTCCCTTTTCAATTCTTCAAACTTATCTTGCATCTCTCTCTCTTGCTCACGACTGGATCGTTTGAGTCCAGCAATTTCTTTGTTTAAAGTTGTAATCGTTTTGTTTTTCTCCGGTAATTCCCTTTGTAATTGCTCGAGTTTGTTCTGAAGGTCGGTTAACGTTGTTTTATCAGCAGTCGTCTGTTTTCGTTCTCGTTCTAATTGCTGTTTAGATCTCTTAAGATCGTTAACTTCGTTCTTCAAAGTGGAAATCATCTTGTTCTTTTCTTTTAATTCCTCGTTGGATTCTCTGAGCTTTCTTTGAATGTCTCTAATCGATGTTTCGTCTGAGGTCTTTTTAAGGTTTTGCTTTGGCTCTTCTTGTTTTGTCGTCTGTTTTCGTTCTCTTTCTAGTTGCTGTTTGGATCTTTTAAGATCGTTAATTTCGTCCTTTAAAGTTGAAATCATCTTGTTCTTTTCTTTTAATTCCTCGTTGGATTCTCCGAGCTTCCTTTGAATGTCTTTAACCGATGTTGCGTCTGAGGTCTTTTTGAGGTCTTGTTTCGGCTCAGATTCGGATTGTTTGAACTTAAAGAGTTGCTCTTCAAGGGTTGCAATCATAGTCTTCTTGCTATCCAGTTCTTGTTGCACTTCATCGAGTTCGTCATGTAGTTCCTTCTCTGCATCTCCAAATTTCTTCTCACAACCTTCTTTGGCAAGTGTCGCTTCCTCCACTGCCAAACGCAAGGTTGCGTTTTCGTTCTTTCTCTCTGCCAACTCAGTCATCAGTGCCTGATGTTCAAGGCTCAGCTGATCCAGTTTGTACTCAAGCTCCTTCATTCTTTCGTCGCTTTCAGCGAGCTCCTCTTTAAGACCATTTGGCACTTCCGTGTCGATCTCTTTGGAGAGGCGGTTTACTTCTAGAGTAAGGCGTTTCACTTCTTGAGTACTCTTCTCTAGGGCATCCTCCAACTTTTTCCCATCCTCTACCGCTCTGCGGTTCTTCTGTTCCTTTGTTTTTATCTCTTCGCGAAGGATATTTTTATCCTTAAGTAAGACCTCTAACTTTCTGGACAACTCCTTATTTCCATCCGTCAAAGATCCAAGCTCTTCTTTGTAACGTTTGGCATTCTCGTCTAGTTTGTCCTCCAAATTTTCTTTTTCTTCGATCAAAGCATCCATGTCCCTTTGCAGTTTCTTTGTTTTCGACCTCAATTCTTCGATTATTTCGTTAAGTTCGTCTTTTTCATCGTTGAGTTCGTCCAGTTCTTCATATAAATCTGCATTTAACTGGCGTTGTTTTGCCAGTTTACCCTCGAAAGTATCTTGGTCGTGCGGGGCAGACTCCAAACTAAAGTTCTCTTCTACTGCGGATGAAAGTTCGCCTTCCTGGGCGCATGAGATTATTTCTTCGCTAATTCCTAGACTTCTTGCATCTGTTTCATCAAAAGAAACGTATTTTTTGCATGTAAGCTCTTTTTCTTTGTTCTCCAAGATTCGTTTTAAGTCCTCATTATCTTGAGCGACCGTTTGTGCTGAAACCTTCAAATTGTCTAGTTCGTTTGACATTTTGATCAACTGATCTTCAGTCTTCTTCTTATTACCTCTTTCAAGCTCAAGTTCTTGTTCAAGCTCATTCTTCTCATCCGCGGCGTCGTCCAGTTTTTCCCTCAGGATTTCACTTTCACTTGTTAGTGTTTCCAACTCACTTTCGATGCGTTCTGTTTCAGTCTTCATTTCGATCAGTAAAGTTTGTTCCTTTCTTTGTGCTTCAGCAAAAGCTGTATTTAAGGCGGCCATTTCTTCCTCGATGGCCTCTAGCTTCCGTTTTAGTTTGTCATTTTGTTCTTTGGTTTTTGTTGACGTCAATTCCGCTCTCCTCAGTTTGCTCTCCGCACTCTCAAGTAACTTCTTCAGTTCTACGTTTTCCACTTTCAGTTCGTCAGATTTGCTTTTTCCTTTGTCAATTGACCCTCTCGAATCACTCAGTTCCTTATGAGCCTTTTCTAGAGATAGAGTCTTCTCGGTAAGTTCTTTTTGGAGCGCAGCTATTTCTGTCTTGGAATGAGCTCGCTCATCCTCCAGAGACTGCGTGCTTTTGCTTAAATCGGCCAGCCGTTTCTCTCTATTATCAATTTGTTCTTTCAAGTCCGTAAGCTTTCTCTGTAAGAGCTGTTTTTCGCTGTCACTAGCTGCGATTCGTTTTTGAAGTTCTTCGTTTTCTTCGCCGTGTTTAAATACAGCTCTCTCTGTCTCTTGTAGCTTAATAGTCAATGCATCATTAGCGTCGGCTTCCTCTTTCAGTTTCTTTTGCAGGACGTTTCTTTCTTCGACTACTTCTTTTCGTGACCTCTCGCTTTGTTTACATTCCTTATCGAGGTTACCGATTTTGGTTTTCTGCTCGTCTACAACTCTTAGCAACTCGGAGAAGGAGATATTCGACTTCTTAATATCCTGATTCAAAGAGCGAAGTAACTCGTCCTTTTGGGCCAGCTCGTTGTTCCAGTCATACTCTTTATCTTTAGCTTCCTTCTTCACGGAAGCTAAAGTAGCACTTTGAGATTCCATATTTGCTCTAAGTTCGCTGTTTAGAGCTTGAATCTTAAGATTATTTTCTTCTGCTTTCTTCAAACGCTTCTCAAGATCTCTACATGTATTCTCAGTAATCGCAAAGGTTTTTTTCTCTTCCTCCAGCCGGCTCACAATAGCTGTCAGATCAAGTTTTTCCTGCTGGTTGTGATGATGTTGTTTCTTCTCGTTCTCCAACTCCTGCCGTAAACTTTCCACTCTACTCCTCTCGCGTTCAAGCTCCGCCAGAAGCTTCTCTGAGCCATCCTTCGCCATTTCCAATGCTACAGCCACTTCAGCCTTTGTGAGGCTCAGCGACTCAGCTTCTTTTTCTTTGTGCTCTAGCATCTTTGTCTTCTCTGTGGCCTCAGCGGTAACAGCAGCGATTTGCTTCTCTTTATTCGCCAACGCTGCCCCCAGCTTTTCTTTCTGCAAAGTTAGCTTGTCGATGAGACTCCGAACGTCATCGATTTCGCGTGATAGTCGTACCTCCTCCCGCGCGGAACGTTTTGATTTTGTAGACTGTTCTTCCGTTTGATCACCCTCTAGTGCCTCTTCTAGCTGAAGCGTCAGCTCAGCTCGTTCTTGGATTAGTTGTTTGTTGTCTTCTTCGATCTCGCGATTTGAATTTTCAGCCTTCTCAAGTCTCTCTGACGTTGTTTTCAACTCATTCCTCAGTTCTTGCAATGTTCTTTCTGCGATTTCTAATTTTGTCATTTCTTCCTTGAGTTTTGTTTCTGAAACAAATTTTTCTTTTAAGATAGCTTCTATGTAATCACAGACGTAACGAAAGTGATTTATGTCCTCTTGTGCAGCTTTATGAGACATTTTTGTAGGGTTCTTTTTGACCGTTCTGTCTATAAACGAAAGTAATTCCGAGGCTTGGTTTTCCAGTTCTTTAAGTTGTTCTCTCGCTGTGCTATTCTCGTTTTCTGTTTCCTCTGTCTTACGCTTTAGGGATCCTTTGTCGTCTCGCATTTTTTCTACTTGTTTCGTTAAGTTACCGACTTGGCTCTTAAAGCGATCTTTCTCTTCTTCTACCAGATCTACGCCCTCCTTGGTGGTGCCAAGCTTATCTTCAGCGTCCTCCAACGAACTCTTCAAGTTATTTAGTTCATCATAGAGCTCTTCCACCGCGCCCTCCAACTCTTTTTCTCTCTGTTTGAGTTTTTCATTCTCTTCAATCATTTCTGTCTGAACCCTCGCCTGATTTTCCTCAAGCGCTTTGTAGTCTTTCACGAGTTGTTCGTGCTTGTGCTCTTGAACTTCAATCTCACTTTTGGTCTTTTGAACCTGAGCACGAACATCTTCATTTTCCGTAACGGTATTCCCTAATTTGTTCTCCACCTCGGTCAGGGTGTGTGATTTTTCTCGGAGTTGTTCTTGTAACAATTCCACTTCCTTTGCAAGTCTAACTACCTCTCCATTCTTTTCGCCTTTTTCCTTCTCAACGTTTATAAGCTTTTCATTTAAGCCGTTGAGATTTTGCTGCAGCCTCTTATAGTCCTGAGCTAGTTTTTCTAAAGATTTAATTTTCTCCTCTTTCTCCTTCTTTAAAGCAGAGATGTCCTTCGAAAGTGAATCATTCTTTTGTTTGACAGATTTCAATGATTTCTCAAGAGCCTGAGCTCTTTCCCATGATTCAGTAGCCTCGTTTTCCAAAGCTTTTTTGCGCATGTTAGTCAGTTGAAGAGCTTGTGTCAACTCCTGTCTTTCATCCTCTTGTTTTTGCAAATCTTCTCGAAGCTTCGCGCACTCTTTAGCCATTTCTTCTAGTGCGGTTTTAAAATCTTCTTCCGGTTTGTCCTTAACGTTGTTTTGGTTTGAAACCTCATCGAAAGATCGCTTCATTCTTTCCAGATCTCGTAGCAGTTCTCCATTTTCCTTGCTCATCGATTCTTGTTCTTTTTCCATGATTTCCTTCTCGGCTGAAATTGATTCAAACCAACTCTTCAGTTGCTCGTTCTCTTCGGTGCTTCGTCGAAGCTGTGCTTCTAATGATTTATTTTCTGCGCACACTTTACTAAAGCGAACTTCAAGTTCTTCTTCCTCGTCACGTGGTCCACTTTCAAGCCAGGAATTGGCCTCGCCTGAAATAGGCACCTCCGTACTATCATTGGACGATTCTTCGAAAGATCCCATCCCGAAAGACGTAACCATTTCATAAACATCAGAGCTGCTTTCATATTCTGAAGCCGTTGTTAACTCAGGCTCCGCCAATGTCTCCGGAATATCACTCGTGACGATTGGGCTTCCTTCGGAAAATTCTTCCTGCGAAGGCAGTTGAGTTGTTTTCAACATTTCCAACTGCTTTTTCAGTCCGTCGTTTTCTAGATGCAGGCGATTAATGACTTCGCTTTCGTCAACTTTGTTGCCTGCGTCGCTCGTTTCTTGTACGCTCTGGTCAGCTTCGGCTTGAGAGCCTGTGGCTTTTTCTTTCCATTTTGCCTCGGAAGTCCTCACCATTTGCAGCTCCTTCTTGGTTTCAATAAGTGCATCTTTCAAAGCATCTCGCTCCCCAGCCACTTTGTTAAGTGAACTCTTCAAGCTTTGGGCCTCTGCAGAAGCCTCAGTCACCGACTTACTGCTTTCATGTTGCTTACACAACGCATCTTCCAGCTGGCATTGCAGACTCTCTTTGCTTTGATACACATTTTCCAGAGCGTCAGCTAAATTATTCTTCTGTTGTTTTATTTCCTCCATTTGCTCCGACATTACTTCTTTTTCTTCTGTGAGTTTTGTAATAAAACTCTTAACTTGCCTCCTCTTCTCGTCAAGCTCACGAACATACTTCTGCAGCGATAATTTCTCTGTTTGAGATGTGTCCAATTTCGTCTTAAAGTACTCCTGTTCAATTTTCATTCTTCTTAGTTCTTTCTTGAGAAGGTTGACTTCTTTCAGGACTTTCTCCGCCAGCGAAAGTATGCTGTTACCTTGTTCGTCGAGCGATGTCGACTCTGGAGCTCCCGTACTAACTTCTTCGGACGCACTATCCTTTTCTTTATCCGTCAGGGATTCGTAGAGCTCGAATAGTTTAGCGTGAATTGATCTCATCTGCCCTTTGGATTTGTCAAGATTTTGTGCCCCAACTGAAACAGAATCAAATTCATTCTTCAAACGCTGGTAGCTTTCCTTCAGCTCGTTGAATTCCTTCTCCATTATCTCAATTTTCTTCTCTAAAGCGGCCTTCTCCTCGCTGACTTCGTCCAAAGACTCGACAAGCTCTTCTTTCTCTTCGTGTGCCTCTTGAAGACATCCTTGAAGCGTATCTGAAACTTCTTTGTTCTTTTTCAACTGATTCTTTAAAACTGTACATTCGTTTTTCAAATGTGCGACTTTTTCTCGAAGCTCATTCTCATTTTTACGGGTGTCTTCTAAATCTATCTGAATCCTCTCTTTCTCCTTTTCAACTCCAAGCACATGCTCTTGCAAACTTTGTAGCTGCTCGTCAAGTTGACGAGACCTCCTTCGTGACTCGTCCATTGCGTCCTTAGTGTCAGTGCCATTTTCGTGTGCGATGTCTTCACTCGTTTGCAGCAGAGCGTGATTTTCGCATCCGGAGAGATTTCCATTCACATCCGTATCGCGATCGTGTGTCGTTGTACTTAGTTTGTTATGGTGTGGGAGGTTAGTTGACGGTTTTCCTGGTTCTTTATCGCCATTGTTTTGTTTTATTGTGCTCTTGAGTTGATCGATTTGCACCTGAAGGGATTCGTTCTTTTCAAGTTGATGTAATAAAGAGTCAAGCAGACAAACCTTTTCCTCCTCTAAGTTGGAGTTGTCGGATTTCAATGTTCTCATGGAATTTTCCAATTCAGTTCCTCGCTTGGTCAGGCGAAGGATTTCTTGTTTAAGGTACTCACATCGCTCCACTGAAGTTTTCCGAGTGGGTTGCATACTAGCAGCGAGGTTTTCGATGCTTTTCAACCTCAGAGAAGTTTTTTCGCCTTGCTTCGTCCGCAAAATAAGCGCCTCTCTCTTAAGATTGGTATAAATGTCTTCGATGTCTCTTTTGTCCACTTGAAGTTGCCGTATCTGTTCTCTTTGTGAATCTATTAATTCTTTACATGTTTTCATTTCACTCAAAAGGCTGTAGTTATGACATTTTTCCGTTTTGCCCCTTGGGGGACATGCTTCACTGGTACTGTACACCGCTTGGATATTGATTTCGTTGAGCTTTTCGACCTCGGTACTTAAATAATCCACGGCATCCTCAAGGGAATCCTTCCTTTCAATTTCATCCAGCACGGCTTCCAAATGATCTGCATTCTTCTTCGAAAGCTCGGCAAAGGCGTCGCGTAGTTTTTTGTTGTCAGCCTCTATGAATTGCAACCGGACCTGAAGCTCGTCTTTTTCATGGTGTATATGCTCCATTTCCTCAAAACTCGAATCCAACGCATCGGTAATTTGAACTCTCAACTTGTTCACGCTGTCTTCGAGCACTCTTTTTTCCTCCTTCAATTTGAAAGTTTCTTCCTCCATAGTTTTGTTTTCTTCCTCTAGTTCGTCCACTTCCGCCTGCAGTTCGCCTGAAAGTTTCTTCAGCTCTTCGAATTCACTGGAGAACGACGCGCCTTGGTTACTTAGCTGACCCAAAATGTTAATTTTACATTGGACCGCCTTGTCACAGGTGTTAATATCAATATGTTCCTTACTGTCGCTGTTTTCTCGACTTTGCAGTTTACTTAGAGTCGTAAGAAGAACCTTTCTCTCTTTCTGTAAGATGGCAAGCTCATCTGAAGCGGAAAAATCCTCGTATTTGACGCCAAGTATCGATTGAATATTTGTGAGTGCTGCGAGCTCATCATCTAAAAGCCCTCGTTCGTATAATTTGTCTTGAATTATTTTCAATTGCTTCTTAAAGTTTTGAAAGTCCAATTCCAATTTATCCAGTCTGGGAATACCATCGTTTCCTTGTCCACCAAATTTCTCGTTGTCATCTTTGTTTCCGTTAATTTTTAACGAGTCCATGTCTTGTCTCGATCTCTCCTCATAAATCGCCTCTTGTTTCTCACTTATTTCAGCAAGTTTTGCCTCGAGTTGTTTTAAAGATAAGTTCTCTGTCTGATTTTTCTCTCGGCAAGACGAGACCCCATTCAAGCCATTGACTCCATTGTTTTGCTTCTCTTGAAGAGTCAACAGTTGGTGCACTTCTCCTAAATAACTCTCTAAAACCTTCACTTCAGCGTTCAGGTCAGATCTACTGCCTTGTAACTTATTTACTAGCTCAGGAGAGAACAAATTTAAGTCTGTACTATCTCCTTGTGAAGTCTCAGTCTCTTTACAAACTGTTTCATGCAGAGAAACTAGCTGCGCCTGGAGTCGATTTCCTACGCTGGTCATTTGATTTGTAAGTTCTTTAAGTCTCAAGGCGCTGTTGAGGGACGAACCGTTTTCGGATAAAGTTGTAGTCGCTTGGCTTGCTTCAAGTAGATCACGTTCATTATCGGCATGTCCAGTGAGGGTGCCATTGGGGTTCTGACTTTGTTCGGCTTTTTCACGATTGCTGCAAGTCAAGTTAGAAGAGGAGGATTATTTAATGATGAGAGTCTAAACGATACTTTTTTCATAACGTACCTCAGTTCTGATACATATAAAATGGACACATTGGCACTGTTCTGTCGATCGACAGATAAATTTATGGGCTTGTTTTTGATGTTGGTAGTTTAGGTTCAATGCGACCAATTTTTTTATCTTTGCGATAACAAAAAGGAAGATGAAAAATGAATATTATTTGGAGGAAGTAATGACTTGATCGAGAACAGATGAATAAAAAAAGAATGACTGGTATGGAACACAGGTATGGTTTTTTACTTGAGATTTTGTCCGTAAATCTTGAATAAACGTAACACAAAAAAGGCATGAAATAAAAAGGAATGGTCAGCAATGAATTATCGATTTTCAGATCAGTGAGCACAGCTTGATATTTACAGATTTAACAAAATAAATCACAAAACAGAATATCAGTCTTTAAAAAAAATCGTGTTTCACTGTTTGGGATGCAACAAATTTTTCCAAGAGTAGTTTCTTTTAAAAACCTCTCTGTTCTTAAAACAGCCACGTTTATTGAATTCGCTTGCATCTCAAACGTTTTTAAGAACGATAGCTTTGAGGTATCATGACTATGACCGTGTCGATGACATCCCAATTATTCTAATTCTGAGATTTACAAGACTTCAAACGCCTCGAGAAAAATTGTCGATAGCAACTTTTTGGGTCTCGTGTGCTAAGCGAAGTCGTTAAACAGTGTTGCTTGGTATATTCAGTTTCTGGACGATTTCTGCTGTTCTGCTAATGCAGTTGCTACAGATCTAATATTTTTCCGGGAAATACTGTGTTGTATATGTGAAACTATGCAATTTCACATCTGATTTTTTCGTATGACCTAACGATTACCCTGACCAGAATGTTTGTCATTCTTGCTGAGTAAAACTAAACTTCTATTAAGTCAAGATACCTTTAAATCTGTTGGGCTGTAGAGGGATATGCTTTGAAGACCTTTCTATATCACATAGACCTTACTTCGGTTTAGCAACAGTAAGACAGAGATTAAATCGAACTTGACCTCGTGTAAGTCAAGAAAGCTATCACTTCACGCAGATATTCGTAGTAAAGGCAGAAAGATGCAGGTGAGCTAGGAAAATTTTGTTTCGAGGAAAGAGTTTCATGATAACAAACTGCGTTGTGAAGCATGTACAAGTAGTAGAAATGTGCTGACAACAATGTCATATTTTCGTAAACTAATTACTTGAATGGAAAGCAAACTATATTAGATAAACGCGTTCACCAAAACAATAGAGTTTGCATTATCATAGTCAATCGCCCCCACATTCTTAGATAAGGTTTGCTTCGCTTGATCGACGAAGAATTATTCGAACACCTTTAGGAAACAAAGCTTTTAAGGACGAAAAATTTGTGTTGTGTTTCTTAGAAGACTCTTACACAGTGATTGATCTGAAAGAAATGATGAGAGGTGTTTTATCTATAAGGTGCTAAAACCAGTTGATCTAATACTGCCATCTAATTGGACAGGTGAACTTTGCTATTCTTGTTGAGTCTTTTTGTGGTACTTGAACAGCCTCTGGTCTAACTTGTAACTGTACCATTGTATAACACAAGAGGTTTTATTACAGCTCGATAAATTGACAGCCTCTGGTCTAACTTGTAACTGTACCATTGTATAACACAAGAGGTTTTATTACAGCTCGATAAATTGACAGCCTCTGGTCTAACTTGTAACTGTACCATTGTATAACACAAGAGGTTTTATTACAGCTCGATAAATTGACAGCCTCTGGTCTAACTTGTAACTGTACCATTGTATAACACAAGAGGTTTTATTACAGCTCGATAAATTGACAGCCTCTCATCACGCCTTGTTAATTAGATACATCAATTCGTTTCGTCGATCAGTATTCCTACTTGATTACTTGGAATTAAAAGTGATCCAATTTAGAAGATGAAAAGTAAGATGAAAGGACTGAGACCTTTGACACTGGACGATCGCCTTATCAGGTTTGACATTGGTTACGTTCAAACAGTAGTCAGAAGTACTGTTGCACTGCTCGTAGAAGCAAGACGCCTGTAACTACTTCGCTTGCACTGAAAGCGATCAGATTTGTGGGATAGTTCATTTCCAAGTCACAATGAATATATAAAGTTCATATATTTTGAACTGCGGTTGTAGATACGTATGATGCACGATCCTCGCAGTAGAGAGTTGCATAAAAACACTTCTCCCTTGCTTGTAACTTGCATGTTTCGCGTTGTTTTCAACTTTTGATTAAAGTTGTGATTCGCTCGTAAAGGTACGTAAATCGATAAGACAGTCAATAAGACTGCCGTTTCTTTTTCTAGATCCAGTCAAGCAAATGATCAACCCATCGCTAGAACAATTAGTACTACTAAACCGAGAAAAATGGAAAAAAAATAAAAATAAAAATAATAGATTCATCAAAACTCTCACTTTAATTCCGAGCGATGGGACGTTCTGGTCTGTATTAACCACTTGCTGTAAAAGAAAACTCAGGGGTATTTATTATTTAAAGAACCAAATCAAACTGGTGGATGTGCAATAACTTTTTCAAGTTCATATTTTGTAATCCGCAGCCATATGGTGTTTTTTATCTTATCATAGTTTCTACTAATATCATGTGGTTTCCCTCACGAGAGTAGTGACGCAAAATATTGTGACGTAGCTTCCTTAAACCGACAAATGCTCCGGTGACAAGGGCATCATAACCAGACTATTCTTTTTCACTCCCCAATGCTACAATTCTTAGACACAGCTTCAAGATTAAAGTACTTTATAAAATGTTAAGTCGCTTATGTTTATAATTTCCTCATCGATTCTTAAAATAGCAAATACAACTTTTACCAGTAGCCTACGGGCATAAATCTAGGCGCGGTCGAAGCTACTCTTTTATGGAATATTTATGATTGCATGACATGCGATTGGCTACTTATGTCAAAGTCAATTTTCCGCCCTATGCGGTGACATAACCCATGCCGCAGGTCAGTTATAGCGGCACATCTGCCCTGGCGCCATATTGCCCAAAGGTGGTGACATTTCTGGAGTCGGAAGGCGACACATTAGGCGGCAAATTGCTCGAACATGTTCCTGCGATAAACTCCTTTGTGTACACTACTAATAAAAAAAACTTCGCTGCCACTCACTTTATTGCCGTGATCATCGCACCAATGTAACCAGTTGATCGTGTGGTCTGATCGTCCAGATGAGGGAATTCTTAATAAGAACTGTTGTCGGTGACCTTACCCCCCCCCTCAGATAATCACACGACACAATGAACTATTACTGCTGAGTTCAAATAATTTGACTACAAATTCATATCAGATTGACTAATAGTGTCTCAGACGCTAATAGTCTCCAAATCAAAATTCTTCATATCACACCGAGCAGATAATTGCTACCAGCTGATCCGGCGATGTGCGGCAATGCCTTGCATATCACTTCGTTTGCAAATAAATAACTTTTAGGCCCCTCTAAAATGCTTACGTGCCCCCATGAGTTGCAGTTTATTGTTCAGCAAAGTATGAATCTATTCAGTTGCTTCACAAAGATTAAGTTTGGATTTTGTAATGTGTAGTAAATTAATATTAATTAATGATTCATAATTTCGAGACAAAATTTTTTGTATACCTTGGTTCTATTTTTAGATAGTCGATGATTTCAAGAGCTAAAATGGCATCTAACTACTATCACTAAGGTGCACATAAAAATATTGGCTTTCATATTGATATAAACGTAAACAGTTTCCATTCAATTGATCTGACGTTTAGTCTTTCACTGAAAATTGACCAGTCGGACTCTCTTTTCCCTTCATTCACGCATCACCTATCACTAGTTTACGTTCTAGTCTTAAAAACCCTGTTTTCCAAAACCTTAACTTCAGAATTAAATGTATTACAACTGTACACAAGACATTAACGTCAATGATCACTAAACCGCCGTAATTTAGGTCGCTAAACGACATGAAATTAGTACATTTCCGGAGATATCGTTAACGATGTTGTCGTGTAAGGATAGAGAGTGTCAGATCATCTTCCCCTGGTTTACCATGTACACTATTCTCTCCGAGAGTGTTTTTCGTGCTTACAGTTCTCCAACAAAGAATTCTCGAGAAAAATGTTAACTAGAATTAAAAGGAGTAGGCCTTCACGCTCTCGGCTCTTTCACGCTTCGACAAAATCACACGAAATATTTCCGTGATTCTCAAACAATACGGTTGGTCAGATATGCCTTTGCATGAAAACTGAAATATCAACAGTATGTCTAGGAATTCTATTGACTTGTTTAGTTTGCTGTCAGGTTGCAGTTTAAAACAACATCAAGTTAACTGAAAGTTAACTTTTAAAAAGTACAACTCGTTAACTAAAAGGCAATTGTTACGAGAAYTTAGTCGTCATCATATTTTTATTGTTAAACGATTAACAATTATTTGTCTCGAGAACTTAACAATTGACTGTTAAACGTATGCAACTTTGTTTCAGGATGTAAAACGCTAAATTCCTTGTTGACAGTGTGAATGAAGAGTGCGTTTTTAAAAAACCAGTACAGACTCTTCTTGAGGGGTCGATCGAAACCCCGTCGATATCAAGCGAATAAAAAGCCTGACGTTCCGAGTCTACTTTCGACAGCCCTGTGTTTCCAATGCCATTCAACGGTCCGTACCAAAACGGGCATGAATTATACTATTTCGTCTTGAGATACGTTTTCAACGAGGATACTATTCATCTCTACTCATTTGTGACTCAAGAGAGATCTTCGCGCTGCATGGTTCACCCATGAGTTCGGCATTTTTTGCATGAGAAATCTCAGTATTTTTCGCATGGAGTAAATCGTAACCGTAACTCAGCCAAAGCTTTTGCTCCAATACAACGAAAGTCTTCCCCACTAAAGGGACTCACACGCAGGATTATCTAATCTACTCTCATGACGCAGATTTCTGTTAAATAACTCAGCGAGCTAAAGTAGTGTTATAGGAG